CACACACACACACACACACACACACACACACACACACACACACCCACACGCAGACACACATACACACACATACACACACACACATACACGCACACACACACGCACACACACCTCCTCCCTGTCGTACTCCCTCTCCTTGTGTACTAGTAATTGCATATGAATGAGCGTCGTTGAGAGAACAGACAAAATATAATTACCCCTTTACTCTGCCTCCTTTTATAACGTGCAAGTGGGCCGTAAAGGCACACGGGGATATGGGCAGCTGGCGCTCAACCATCATTAACGTGGCCAGCCTTGTACGTGATAGGCACAGTAAGAGGGAAACTGCAAAAACAAAGAACATGGGAGGCCTCCCAATGCTGGCTGATGAAAAAATAATCAAGAAAACGATGTAGCATACTAACAAATGTACTGCGTCTCGTATTTTTTTTGCCGTTGGCATGGCCCATCTCGAGCGTGTTGCATTGCCTGTTTAAAGGTAAGGTTCTGAATAGATATTGACTTCACAAGCAAAACTGTCTCATTGGTGGATTGGCTCATCTCGAGCATGCTTCATTGKCTGCAATATAGGTAAAGTTGCTGTGACTTTGGATCTACTCATCTGGGCGGAATAGAGGAAGTTGTGGTGATAATTTGTAACACACACACACACACATATGGCAGTCTGCTAGGATTGGCCACTTTCCTCTCTCAGGGGCTTTGAAACACACACACGCACACACACACACACACACACACACACACATGGCAGTCGGCTAGGATTGGCCACTTTCCTCTCTCAGGGGTATTGCTGACTCTGGACAGCGTGGTAAGTCCTTATCCATCAGTGAAATGAATCCTGGGCAGACTGTCGGGGTTCAACCTCCTGATGAGTCGGTGAAAGTCCAGCGAAACAGTCTGGCACAGTCACACTTTTTTTGAGTGTATACACTGTATAGTGAATATGACAACACAACACACGCACGCACACACTCAGAGACACAGTCATGCTTTTCTTTGTGGAGTTGTGTATAGCGAATATGACAACACACGAACACCGGTCCTGTCCTGTCTGTGGGGGTGGCCACTTACCATAGGCAACGCCTTCTCCTCAAGTTGAATGTCCCTTTGACTCGAACGCTGACTGGGCTCTAGTGCCATTCTATAGTAGGCTGATAGTAGGCTGCTCTGGTGGTGAGCACTGAGAACCCTGTGAAGTTTGTATTTCCCCTATTTTGAACTACTCCCCCTCCTCTCTTTCCTCTCTCTCTCTCATTCTGTGGTCTAGTTAAATGCATACGAATGATTATTAAGAGAACGGACAAACTATGAGCTGAAGAGCTGCTGAAGAATGAACAGGAGTGTCTCTCTTCCTTGCCTCCTTTCATAGCGTGAAAGTTGGCTGTTATGGCACGCGGGGATGTGGGCAGCTTCTTAACCAACAGTCAATGTGGCAAGCCTTTTACACTACAGGCAGTGTCAGGCACAGTAAAAGGCGAGCTGCAAGACGAAATAAAAGGGGTACCTCAAAGAAAGCAGTAAACAAGCGAATAAAGGACTGTACAAGGAAAAGGTAATATAACAGATTTATTGTGCTTCCCGTTGTTTGCTAGAGTTATAACACTGTCAATGTTGGATTTGCTAATTGTAGTGTGTGCTTCATTGTCTGCTATAGAGGTGGAGCTAGCTTCATTGTCTGCTATAAAGGTGGAGCTGTTTCAATTCTGGATCTTCTGGGAGGGAGAAGGGCTGTTGTGGTGACAGTTTACAACACACACGGACTCACAAACACACACGCAGGCCCTCTAGGATAGTGGTGAAGGCTGCACTTGGCGGCTAACATTTAGTATCACCCAGTGCCAGAATCCCACTGGATCTGGCTGGGCAATCTGGAACACTATGCGGATTTGCACTCGTAAGCTATGCGGATGTGTGCGCTTGCAAGCTATGCGGACGTTTACTCGCAAGCTATGCGGAATGTGCACTCTCAAGCTCTCCAGCCTCAGGAGAACAATCCAGCCAACCGCCTCTTCCCGTCCGCAGGTTTTCCCTGAATGTGGTAGGTTGTGTCCCTTGCCTGTGCATCGGATGGATTCTGCTGCTGACGGTTGGGAGGGATGGCGCTCCAGAGTCAGGGGGCCGCACAATGCCCCATTGCGTCTCCACACAGGCACACTTTGGTTAGCATGTACATTTATAGTTTCTGCTCCATACACTATGAAGTGGGGGCGGTGACCCCGATGAAGGGGGCTGCGCAGTGCTCCATTGTGTCTCCATACAGGCACAGTTTGGTTAGCATGCACATGACATAGTTTCTCCTTCGTACAATAGGAATGGATAGTCTCTTCCAGCCTCCTCCGTGAGAACTGTGACCCGTTGTCATGCTCTCATCTGCCCCACTCTGATATGCCTGGCCTTCTCTTGCCATGGTTGAATAACTGTAAACACGATCCTCCTTTTCTGCTGTCATATCAGCAACTTGTTTGCAGGAATCTGTTACAGAGGTTTTCTTCTGTGCGGACTATCCCCGATGCCATGAGCCTCCGCATCCTCTCTGTTCATCTCATATGTAGCATTGGGCCACGTCCGATTGCACCCGAAATTGGATCCCCTCCATCCTTGCCAGATAAGGTGGAGAATAGACCCTCAACCACCTAGAGTGTGCCAGCTGAAAGGTTGTCGCTGGCAGGGCAAACAATTGCTGACCAGATCTTGCAACAGGTAAAAGCCATACTTGCAGCGAAACTCATAGGTGTGCGGTGCTGTGTGGTGAATTTGAGCGTGATGCGGGGCTTGAGAGTTCACAGAAAGCACAGTTACAATCCTAGCATGAATGTGTGCAGGGTGTGTGCTGGGCCTACTGCTGCCCCCGGGCTCCTCTTTTTTTAGTTTCAACCCATGTTTTTAGGGGTGTGCCGCATGCAGTGTGCGTGCCACATGCACTGTGCGCAATGCGCTGCATGGGCACAGCAAGTGCGCACTGCATGCGACGGAAGAATGCTAAACACCCTTTGTATCAGGTCCCATTATGTCCTGCTCATAAAGAGGTATCAACTTTGGAATCCTTAACAAATGCCCAATGCCGCACTGTGGTGGCCCACCGGAGATTCGGCTGGCATGTGATTGGGATGCTTTGTCTTGTAGGGAATTTATATACGCCCATACAAGTCCCTGTTTCTTACATATGATGATAGTTAACATTGTACTCGTATGTGGTACAGTGCAAGTGTGTATGTCTTATGTGGAGAGCGGTCGGCGTGCCTCTGTGTTTCTAGCATGTGGGAGCCAGGTAACCTATAACATGTGTACGTCACACCATTTGATGAGCAACCACGACTACGAGAATTAGATGCAGTGCGTTCACACTCCACACCCGAACCGGTCCTCTCCGGTCTCCGGGGTGACCACTGACCGTGCACAGCAGCTGCTCATCAACTCATTTTTCTCTGCAACCCAAAATCTGCCTGGCGTCTTGTGCCATTCTATAGTTGTGAAGTTCATGTGCGTTCGCATTCCACACCCGAACCGGTCCTCCCTGGTCTCCGGGGTGGCCACTTACTGTGCGCAGCAACTGCTCATCAACTCGTTTTTCTCTGTAACCCGAACTCTGACTGGCCTCTTGTGCCATTCTACAGTTGTCTGCTCTTGATTGAGTACTGAGAACCCCTGTGAAAGTTCATGTTTCCTCCGTTCCATTTCTTCCTCTCTTGACCTCCCTCCTCTTCCACTTCTCCCCCCTCTCTCCCCCTTCTTCCACCCCCCCTTTCCTTGTGGGGAACTCTTTCGCCAGTCAAAGACACACATTAGATGCAGCAACTGCAACTGCGAGAATTGGATGTGGTGCTTCCACAGGCAACACACCTGAACCGGTCCTGTCCGATCTATGGGGGTGGCACTTGCCAGAGGCAACGGCTGCTCGTTAACTCGACATCTCCCACAACCAAAACGCTTACTGGCCTCTTGTCCCATCCCAGAGTAGTCTGCTCCAGCAGTGAGTATTTAGAACACCCTGTGAAGTTCGTCGGTCCTCTTTTCTGTTCTTTGTCCCTCCATCTCCCCCCCCCGGCCCCTTGTTTCCTATAGAACTCTTATCCTCTACCTTTCCTTCTTCCCTCCCCTTGTGTACTACTAGTAAATGCATAAGAATGGGCCATCAATAAGAGAATGGGCAAAATAAAAGTCGAACATTCGAAGGAAAATGAACAGGATTACACCTGGCCCTTTAGTCTGCATCCTTTCATAACCGGCAAGTATGCCACTAAGGCACACGGGGGATGTTGGCAGCTCGTGCTAAACCACAATCAACGTGGCCCGCCTTGTATGTTGGAGGCACAGTGAAAGGGGAGCTGCAAGAGCATGTAAAAGGGGTACCCCAAAGAAAGGCAAAGTAAAGATAGTTAAGAAAGGGGTATAATGGATCTATTCTGCCCCATGTTGCTTGCTATAGAGCTACACCTGTTTCATTGTTGAATTGGCTCATCTCAAGTGTGCTTCATTGTTTGCAATAGAGTTAAAAGCTGCTCGGTTTTATCTATACTCATCTGGGTCTAAGAGGGGCTGTTGTCGTGAAAATCTAGAACACACACGCACACACATATCCACCCCTCTCCCCTGAAGGGGGGTCGAGGCCCATTGCTGCTGGACCGAAGGAGGTGTGATTTCTACTTACACAATGCTCCACATTTTACTGCAGGTGAAGCAGTAGATGGATAAAGGCAATTCATTGCTCAGAGCCAACACAGCACTTCAGGTGGTGTCCGGAATGTTTGAGAATGATGCGGGCTCAGTTGTTGTGACAGCACGATATATCGGCATTGCGAGGAAGAATGGTGGCTTTTGCAACAGGGGCAGGTCTTGGTTTGTGAAGAGAAACAAGCTTGTTCGGTATGGCATGGGGATTTCACATTGAGACAGCTGGAATTTAATAGATGCTTCCTACAGGCGGATTTCCTGGGGTTCCGATCAGTCGCTGAACCGTTGGGTTTGAGAGGAAGGCATTGGATTGGAGAGAGAAAGCTCTCTTCGGATTGGAGAGAGAAAGCTCTCTTCAGACAGGCTTCTGGGGGTCCCGTCTTGCGTCGGTTCTGGTTGAAGTTTGGCCTCTGAGGATCGATAGAGACGCTTCGTCTTCTCTGTTCACCCTTGGGACCACAAGGAACTCATGCTGCTAGTGTTTATTTGACCGGCTGCTGTGATGCGTTGGGAGGTCGGAGAGTACTCTGCTGTCCCGGCTTCTGAGGTCTATCCATCGAGTTGAAAATGGTGGTGCAGGAAGAATTGGGAATTTGGGAGAGGGCCCGAGTGATGCTTTCCGAACGGACTCACTGAGAGTCGTAGTTTGCGATATCGGAGACTGCTGTGCCTTGCTGCTGTTCGTCTCAGGACTTCCCCCGGGTATCTCGCACTTCCTGAACCTGCTGCTCTGATTCACAGGTTTGAGTCCAGACTACTTTGCTGTCCTGTAACTGAGATTGGGTTGTCACGTTACTTGCAAAGGTGCTCTGCTGTTGGTTGTTGTGAAGGAAGGGCGTCTCATTCTGTTGCTTGTGTGTGTTAGCTTTCGTAGCTTTTGTCTTCTTCTTGGAATCTGGGTAGGCTTGTCCCATGAGCTGTCCGGTGAACTTTTGACCAAGATCTTGAGGTGTGAAGGGACTTGCTGTGTGTGCCCAACTGCTCCATTTGTGTTGAATTGAAGTGATCAGCTCGATTGGATTATGAATTGCATTGATACCCTGGCAGTAGTGGGTTGTATAGTCGTCCGGTTGTTTCGAATGCACGCTGTTGGCATCAAAGGGAGTGTAGTAGGAATGAAGGTGGAGAAGTTATCATCATGGCTTTGGAGGAGAAGGCCCAATCGCCTGTTTAATGCTGTAGAGCTGGCGCTCCATGAGATAACGAACGGCTGGCGGCAGACTGGATCGGCGCCGAATTTTGTGCACCGGCCTGTACACAGCTCAGCTGGTTGCAATTGCACCTAAATTTCCCATCGTGTAGCTTTTGGTGAGCACATGTGCTCTAGCTGGTTGGGGGGAGTGTGGCCAGGTTCCGAACGTGAATCGATTGATGCTCGTTTGGATGGGTGCGGTTTCGTGTACGTGATGGGTCGATAGCCATGGGTGGGAGTGCCTTAGCGGGGGTGGAACGTGGGGTCACTGGCTGGTCAGTGGTGCACCTGGTAGGCTGTCTTGTTCGTTATGGAAAGCCTCCCGGTTGCTCTGAAGGGGGTCCTTCCTTCGGCCGTGGCTCTGATAATGTCTGTTTCGGCTGCTGCTTCTAAGCGCTTGCTGCTGTAATGCGCCAGCGAAAATCGCGGAGGGGGTAGAGACACAACCAGGTCAAGCAAGGTTGCAATCTGGCATAGTCTGGCTTACCTCTGGGGGGCTTTATCTACAAGTCCATGGATGTGCTTATCGAGTGAGTTGCTGCTACTGGTTGTGGCGATGCACGTGGATGCCTCCTGATAGGTTGCCCAGGTGTTGGAGCTCGGGAACCCATGCATGATTTGTAGAGAGCGTGTGTGTGTGTGTGTGTGTGTGTGTGTGTGTGTGAGCGAGCGAGAGAGAGAGTAGAGTCTGAACAGATTGCCATGCTGGCCCAAGGGTTTAGCAGAGGTAGATCAGGGGAGGATAGTGGTGGGGCCAAACAAGTGGGGGGTGCTTCAGGCGCTTCGGAGCTGATGGTTCCGAGGTTACGGGTTTTGATGTTTACCTCAGAAGAATGCGACGGAGTGTTGGTATGGTGGAGTGGCAGAGGCTTCCTGTGTGTGCTGGATTAAGCTTTTCCGCCTGGGGTGCTTGTGCCAGGAAGGTGACGGAACGATGTCCTTTCTGTTTCTCCACCACTGGATGTGGCATGCGGTGCTGTATAAAGACTTGTAGAGGTACTAGAAAAAAGCAATTTCTTGTGATTACTCCTTACAAAATTGAAATGACATCATCAGCAATTTGCATCTCCAACCCATTTGTGTCGATACCCTTGAGTTCTGAGAATCCAAGAGACGGGGTAAGGCAGGGCGAGGGGCGAGCAAGAGGTTCATGTTCTGTGGCATGGTGGTGCTCAAGCCCCAGTCTGGTGAGAGGTGTCCTCTGCTCAGGAACGCAGAGCGTAGGGGAATGGGAAGGGCAGGACGAGGGTTTTCGACGGGAAGAAAGGACATATTTAGTTCTATTGGTGCATTGCCTATGTGGATAGAGAGGCAGTGCAGGGCTTTCGAATGGCGGAAAGCGTGATTGGGTGAGGTGGAGGTGCCAACGATGTGAGAAAGAGAGAGGAGGTCTTATTGGTTATAAAAATTTGACATCGGTATGCCTTGTGAAAGAACATTTGGTAATTTCGATTCTCGAAAGGTTCCGAGGTGAGTGAGTGGGGTGAGAGGAGGCAGATATGATGCTTCACGAACTCTGGAATCACAAATGTTTCATGTTTGTATTGAACAATGTTTGTTTGCTGTTTGTCATATCGGGTCGAGCAAAGCATGTTTTTGTCCATTTAAGGAAAAGAGTCTTCATTAAGACAAGAGTCTTAATGCTCCTGATTCCGCTCCTTTAAAATCAGTGTAAGATTACGTGCTCAGCAAGAGCAGCAGACAAAATGATTCTCCATTACCTCGCAAGCTCTTCGTGGCTACTGTCTTCACCCGAATAGAATGTGTGGTCATTATGGTTGTATTCAATGCAATATTCAGTCCATATGCAGCCATAAGGACTGGGTATCAGTCTTGCATACCCCGACAGTCGGCGGCCCTTGACTGGTCGGCTGCCGACCAGCACACCAGTCAATTGTCATCGGCACCCTGCCATAAAAAAACAATATATCATATATAATAATATCGTCAGACATATATATATGAAATGCCAACGAAACAGTTCGTCACAGCCCCTCGTTTGTTGTCCTCTTTTTGTGGTTGATAGCCTGTTAGGTTCCGCTCCAGTTGACATCATCGTTCGCAAGGAAGTTCTCTCTCTCTCTCTCTCTCTCTCTCTCTCTCTCTCTCTCTCTCTCTCTCTCTCTCTCTCTCTCTCTCTCTCTCTCTCTCTCTCTCTCTCT